GATGGGAGAGCGGACGGGATCCCGAGCTTTCCAGTAGGTATGGTCGTATGTGCTAAGGAGAACAGTTTCTGTGGTATATCAAAGGTCAGTGGCGCCCACGAGACTCTCAAGACCCCAGGTGGAGGCAGAGACACGACAGTGAAATTGTAAAAACCAGGGGTAGTCTCTGTATTTCATGTTTGATTCAAATAATTCTCAGTACCAAGCTGCTCGAATACTTTGCCATGCCTGGATGAGGTAGTATGGCACAGCAAGGCAGCCCAGTGTGTGACCTGAACAACCTTGGCCAATGCATGCCCAAATTGTCCGACATCGGTTTTTTGGGGGGTTGTTTTATTCGTCACTCTGCAGGAACTCAGATACACAGATATCACGGTTGCACAGGCTTGCGTAGTTATGTAGTCGCGTAGAGCATGGAGATGAGATGATACAACCGCCCTTGACAAAGTACGTAGTTTATTACTATGTATCATGTCAACGACTAGACATTCGAGACCAAACTTGAAGCCCAAACAAGGTGCCAGCATGTCTTAAGAGCAGTGATTTAGTTCATCGTGATTTATTCATGTACACACTCGTAGTAAAGCATAAGATGACCGCCGGCAACATGCCAGGCATGCCCCAAACAACCCTCAGCTCAGAGCATTGTCATGTAAACCAGACTCATACACAATATCTTGGACAGCAGAGTATCCTCATTCCAATATCAAGCTCAGAGCCATGTATAAGATGTCACCCTTTCGGCTTCGGTGCGTAGCACCCCAGACTGGTCAGCAGCCTGTCTTGTCCAACACGATATCCTAGGGGGGGAAGTGACCCAGAGACCTTGTACTTTTGAATTTAGGCACTCAATTACTTCAACTGTCTATTTAGCTAGATCTGAGGCAAGGTCTGACCGTTCCCACAGAGTAAATGACAACATCTGTCGTACTGCATCAAAAAACCAGTCACTCAAACCCCAAAAACACCTAAGTCAGTCATCGACTGCGAAGCACATCCTCAAACAAAAGCGCACCTATCCTTGTGTCACTACAGTCTTTCGTATAATGGGCCAGGGCTGTATTCTGGCACCCGGAACGCAATGCCGCAACTGGCGCAGGTAAACGCTCAAGAATACCATATAACTATCTAGCCCATCGTAGGTCCGTATTCCGGCGCGTATACGATTTCCGACCTCGTGGCTGCGCAGACGCATGCGAACAAGGATCCCAAGTCCACGATTTAACATTGGCGACCCAATATCGCGGAACCATCAAGCCATGCATGGCCACCTGAACGTACACCACCATAGACACCAGCCAAGTGAAGTACAGAAAAATGGATTACTATCATTCACGGCGTCACCCGCTACAACTTCTACCACAACAAGACAAAGACAGAGGTTATTACAAAGGCTTTACCAAAAAAGGGGGATCCCTCGCAGGGCGCAGGCCTCCCAAAAACAAAAGCCCAGGCTTGCTGCTCTGCCCCAAGGAATCTCCCCCTTCTTCTACGCCCTCTTCGTGACGTGTAATCTTGCCTGCCTGCCTGCCAACCCAAAGATCCCCCCTCCTTGCCGTCCTGTTCGCCTAAGGTACACACACATATACAAAGGTCGTCAGCTGCCTGCGTCGTCATCAGGACCGTACACGCTCGACTTGAGTCAAACGGCCGCCCACCCCCTCTCCATACACTATCTTGTTCCAGGCCATCGAATGAGTTGGTCGGTCGTATTTGACAGCTCGCAACTACTCAGAATGCATTTGCGGGCTGGACCAATTCCCAACTGGAGACCAGAGTCCATGGCCCAGTCCCAGGGCTGTCGTCACATGGCGCTGCACCTCCCCATGATCACATACGCCCAAATTGAGGCATAGCACCGGAATCTCGGAGCAATGCGCTTAAGCCTTGCGCGAGCGGGGAGTGCCACCGTTGGCCTTGGCGCCAGTGGTCGAGGCAGAGCCGTTGACGACCTTGCTGGGCGAGCCAATGTTGTGAGGGTCGGGAAGGGGTGCCTGAGACATGCGACGCAGGGACTTGCGGGTGGTGGTCTTCTTGCCGTCCTTCTTGTAGGTGGCGGCGTAGAAGGAGATGAAGAGTACAAGGTAGGAGCTGAGAGTTCCGATACCAGCAAAGGCAGCGAACTCCTCACCGGCGCAGTTGCCGGCGTTGGGCATCCAGGGGAAGTAGGTCGAGGTGAAGTAGGTGTACGAGGCAAAGTAGACGAAGCCTGGCGCAACAGTCAGCATGACGATACTTTTTGTGGCCATGGGATGTTGTACATACCGAGATCAATGATGAACTGGATGATCTGGAGACGAGTGACCCACTCCTTCCACCAGATACGAACGCCACGGGCGCTCTGGAAGTAGTACCAGTACATGACGACGTGGACGGTCAGGTTTAGGGTGATGGGGACCCAAGAGACGGCGGTGGAGCCGATGAGCTGGGTGTAGCACAGGAAGGCGGTCGCGCCGTGGTGGTAGCAGTGGAGGAAGGCTGCGAGCCGGTTAGGAACGGGATCTACGTGTCTCACATGACAGCGGCAAATAGGGGGCGGCTGCACATACTCAGGGGCTTCTTCTTGAGGAAAAGGAAGCAGGTGTCGAGGAGCTCGAGATACTTGGTCAGGTAGTTCAGCTGGGGAGGAGATTGCGTGTCAGCGCGTGCACCAAATGGCAGAAGCCGACGACGCCGGTTGACGCTGGACGATTTGTAGACGTACGTAGTAGAGGACGACGAGAGGCTGAGTCCAGCCGCCTTCCTTGTCGCAAATGGCGTGGAAGACGCCGCCGCGAACGACGGTGGGCAGGAGCTGCTCGACGAAGAGGACCAGAAGTATGCCGGAGATGGCGGTAAGATAAAAGTTGTGGATCAAGAACAGCGTCTTGAGCTTGAAAGGCTCGCGGTTGCGCATCCACTCACGGCCACCGAAGATGATGGTGTAGTAGATGACGATGAAGATGAGGGTCTCCTTGAGGGTGGACATGGGAGTGTCACCCTGCTTGAAGCGGAACTCGCTGGCGGGATAGCCTACGACGGCGGTCCATGCCTTGTCGAAGATGGGCCACAGCTCGATGCCGAAGGGACGGTCGATGGTGGGGAGCGGGAGCTGCTCGTAAAAGGTGGTGGGAGTGACAGACGCCATTGTGAGGGATGGGGGGCGCGAGTGGCCGAGGTCGTTGTATGTGGTCTTGTGAGTGTCGGTATGGAGCGCGACGAGACGCGTATTATGTCCACGACGAGACGGCAAGTATGCGGGATTGCGCAAAGGCCAGAGGCGTAGGCGCGGGAAAGAACAAGGCGAACCCTAAGGAGTGACGAGAAGGAAGAGACAAAGTGTGTCCGCAACGAGCCCAAAGGACGGAGTCGATACGGGGAGGAAAAGGAGGGGGGAGAGGGAGAAAGGGAGTGAAAGGGGAGAAGGTCAAGTGGGATGAAAAGAGAAGGGGATCGTGGAGAGAAAAAGGCATCTGGCGATCGAAAAGGGGACGTGGACGGGATTTTTCCAGAAAGCCAATCCCAAGCCCAACCAATGGTTCAGCGCCCGTTGTCGAGTCGCGGCAGCGACCAGCGGCCAAGCCGGCCCCCCCTCCCCCCAAGACGTGCTTGTACTCGATACTTTGGCCTTGGGGGCCCTTGGGAATGGGGTTGACCAGGCCCAAGCAGGAAATGAGCTATGCTTCTGCATGTGATGAGCTTGTTGAGGCCCTCTGGCCAATGGGACATCAGGGGATTGGTCGCTGGCCTGGGGCGCTGCCAAGGGGCTCATCAGCAGCACGTGACCTGCCACCTCGGCGGTCGGCAGCGAAAGCAGTGCTGCAAGTACTCGGTACTTGCTGTCTGCCCGACTGTACTGCAATCTCCGTATTCATGTGCGACGGCAGGGACGACGTCAGCGGGCTCGATACAGGGGGCTCGCTTGGGGGAAACAGCCTCGGTCAACAAAGAGCATTGGAGCATTGGAGCATTTGGGTTTTCCTCCTCCTGCAGAGCTGAAGTACATGTTCAGTGGCACGGTACCACGGAACGTCCCAGCAGCCATAATAGCCCATCAGTTATATCGTATCCAATCCCGAGAGGTCCGGGCGGGGAGGTCAACAAGCAGGAGACAGAAAGGAGGAGACAAACAGGAGTGACGGAGGGTTTGTCCTCGACAATGTCTTCAATTGGGCCCCAACAAACTGAACCCAAGGGCACGCAGCTGCAAACATCTCCCACAAGCGACTTTGGCTTACTCAGACCAAAGACAGCCAAGCCATACCGTCTGGTCAGTGTAGGCGACGACCGCGCAGTGTGGCATGCATTTCGCGACATTCATACGTGGCCGTCGTCGGTGTCTGTCCGGGCATTGGGGGAGATGATCGAGTCGAGTCAGGTCCGCCCTCCGTCAAGATGGGACACTACCAGAGCGTGCCTTCATGAGGAGAGGTAGGTAGGTACGTACCTGAAGCATGTGGACAGCTGGTCAGACCTCTGATTACTGATGTAGAGACTCACTCCAGCTCCAGGGCTTCCCTCCAGCTCCAGGGCTTGCACGTCAGTTGCACTGTAGAACATCCACTGCAGGCCCCCTGGAAGCCCCCGAAGGACAGCTGTGTCGCGCCGACACGGCACTGTCTGGGGCACAGCTCCCCGATGAGGGCAAGCGTAGATTAGTCATCCAATCAAAAGGCCGCAGAATCCAATCCTTTCCCCCTGCACCCAAACACAATTGGCACCGACATCATTCGATCCAACCGAAAGCTGACTCTGGTCCCCAAGCCCGGCATCGTGGAACCTGACCTGAACGCAAAAAAACCGGAACAACCTCGATCCACCACCTACCACTCCCAACCACAACTACCACCCATCACCACCACCACCACCTCTCTAATCACGACGACCACCGTCCCCCCACACCGTCGCCATGTCTGCCGCTCTCCTTCGCGTCGCCGCCCGCCGCGGCTTCTTCAACGCCAACCCCGTCGTCCGCTCCGCCCCCCTCGCCGCTCGCGCTGCCGTCCTCCTCCCCATGGCTGCCGGCTCGGCCTCCCACTTCAGCACCGTGCCTGCCAGGCGCTCCGAGCACCAGGAGGAGACCTTCGAGGAGTTCTCTGCCAGGTACGCCGCATTCTCGCCCTCCTCTCGACGGTCAATTGGGCAGGGCGATGACAGCACTGTCGCGTCAGTCTGCTGCGGCTTCTCGGCAAAGGAGCGTTTTTCTCTCCCTCGGTGGCACCAGCAGACCATCGCAACAGCCGCCCTCTCAATTGACCGCGCCATCGCCGCAATGCACTCAATTGCATCGAGCTCCCGCTGACTATTTTTTCCACCGCCAGGTTCGAGAAGGAATTCGACGCCGTCAACGACGTCTTTGAGCTTCAGGTAAGAACGACCTCTCTCTCGCACCCGCCCAATCCCCGGTACCCCGGCCGGGGGTATAAAAGTGGTCTGATCACAGAAAGAACACAACCCATCACCCACGAGTCGGCACACTCGCAACAACGACCCTACCCCTCCCCAAGAATTGAATGATGGCTAACGCGAAACCCCAATTCCGCAGCGCAACCTCAACAACGCCTTCGCCTACGATCTCGTTCCCTCCCCCACAGTCGTCGCCGCCGCGTTAAAGGCGGCCCGCCGCGTCAACGACTTCGCCACCGCCGTCCGCGTCTTCGAGGGCGTCAAGGCCAAGGTCGAGAACAAGGGCCAGTACGAGCAGTACCTCGCCGAGCTCAAGCCCCTGAGGGAAGAGCTCGGCCTCTCCCTCAAGGAGGACATCTACCCCGAGCAGCAGCAGCAGTAAATCGCCGCCGCGCGCTTCGCTGCCTGTGTCTGTTAGGGCGCGTGTCGGCCGCGCCTCTGGTCTTTTTGGCCGCTGCTCTCTGGGTTCGCTCATTGCGGTTGTCATGAGGGAGTGCGACAGGGGACCGGACCGTCTGTAGGGATGAGGTTCGAGCCCGATGAGATGAGGTCAGCTGTCACGGTGGAGAGGGAGCTGTATGTGTGATCGTGTCAACGGAGAATGCTTGTGTGACGGCTTTGTATATTCTACTACTAGAGGCTAAGACCAGAAACACGCCAGTTCGTGCTTGCCTGCGTCGTGTTGTGAACCTTTGGCTGATAGAAAAAGAACGGGGAGTTATCTTTGCGCTCGACAATTGGGCCAACGCCGCCTGACTGTTGTTCTCTGCCTTGTCTCGACACTGCCAGTGCCTATGGAGCTCGACAGTGTCCCAAGACCACGCTGACCACAAATTTGCCTAAGGACTTGATATCTGCAGACAAGGACGACATGAACCTGATCGACTGTATCTGTGTTCCATGGACAACATCTCACCATCATTGTGACTCAGACTGGATGAACAATAGATAAGACTGACTGACTACCCTTTAACGCCAGAACCACCGGTAAATCCGGCGAGGCATGCATGCTGTACCCTGCCTGGACCATGTATAGCTCCCTAGAAAATAAAAAAAAAAACACAGAAAGGAGATGCTTCTGTCCACAATCTTTCGCGTGGTATCATAATACGAAGCTAGTTCGGAAGCTTTCGTCTGAACGGCACCGTCATGATACGTTTCCTCTAGTCAATAATGTTGCATCACAGGACGACAGCAACACGGCGTCCTTGCCTTGCTCAGAGCCGGTCCCGTAAATGATTGAACCGCCCATTCGCCGCAGACGACGCCGCAAACAAGGGAGGTGGCGGCGGCGGCGCAGGCGTCTCGACGACGTGAGATGGCGACGTCCCTCTGCTACCCGGCGTAGCGCCTGCGGACGCACCCAGCGTGCTTAAGCCCCCGCGTCCATTGCGCGGCGTCATGACACCCATGCGTGGGCTTCGGGGAACACTGGTCCCACGCGTCTCGCGTCGCCCATTCTTCAGCGACCTGAGCTCTTCGCGGGTGCGCTCGAGCTCTCGTTCGCGGTCCTTGGCGAGCGTCTGCGCCTCCACTACTAATCGCTGGAGGTCTTTCTGGCTGCTGTCCGCGTTGATCTGCTGAATCTTGACGAGGCTCTCCGAGAACTGCTGCTTGAGCTGCGCAACCTGCTCTCGAAGCTCCTTGTTCTCCTGCACGGTGTCATTGACGTGCTGCCGCTCATCCTGGTACTGACCTCTCGCGAAGTCAAAGTCGCTTTCCTTGCTCTTCAATTTCTTCTCCAGAAGACGTATTTCTTCCCGCGCAGCACTGAGCTCCTTGCTCCTCTCGTCTAGCCCAGCGAGCACACTGTCTTTGGACGCCGCTTGTTCCAGCCTCGCTTGGAGCGCAAGGATTGTGGCATCCCGCTCCGCGAGACGCGCACGAACCGCCTGTTCTTGCTCGACGGCCTGGTTTCGCTCCTTCTCAAAGCCTGCACGTTCGCTCAGAGCAGCCATGTGCTGTTTCTGGATCACGTTGGCTGTTGATTCGTGGCTCTTAATCTGTTTCGACATCCGCGTGATCTGCTTGCGAGTGATAGCCTCGAGCTCATCTTTATCTCTTAATTGGGATTCCAATTCAGTGTTCTGGAGAGAGTTAGTCAATGGTTCTTGTGAGCGGTGCTACAAACAACCCGTGCTTGGCCTACCTTTTGCGTGAGAGCCCCCCATGCCGCCCGCGTTAACATGACCTGCTCCTTGGCTGGGTCTGGGTCAATCAGTTCTCGGACTGTGGTATCAAGTTCCGCCGGCGTCTGTGCCACTGATTGTGAGCGGCGCAAGCGTTTCGGTGACCCGACAGGTGGCCCGTCGTGCTTGCGTTTGAGGGCAGAGATTTGACGGGCTTCGAGCTGGGATTGAGGTTGCGTCTGGCTTTTCTGCGCGTTATCGTAAAAGTCTAGGAGATCGCTGGGGATCAACTCCGGTTCCCAATCAAATGCAAGATCAGGATCGAGGAGGTGCTCTGCGAATTCCGCCACAACCCTCTCTACGTCTTGATCGCCGTGATTAGCCAATACTGCTCGGCTCTGGAAAATGGAGATCAAAAGTGCGTTCTTGCGGTCAAGATCCCCGAAATCTGTTGGGATAACCACTTCGAAATGCTCAATTGAATACGTGATGACCAGACTGATCACGACTGGCTTCTTGCTGGGCTCAGCTTGCTCCACCTGCTGCGAAGCTACAGACGCGGCGTAGGCAGAGTCATACCCAATGACAATATCGAAGGCGAGGGCGTCCACATCCTGATCAGCATGGGCAAGCTGAACGACGAGCTCAGATTCCTCACGATCGCTGGGCTTTATGGTGCCGATGATTGCTTGCAGGTACCCGAGAAGCTTCTGGCTTCGTGCGATGATCAGAACCTTCTTATCAGTGTAGGCTAGGCGTTCTAAAAGTCGGCCAACAAAGTAGAATTTACTATTCGTGCCCATGGCATGCTTCTGTATATCGGTCGTATCAAGCTGACGAAGTTCATCTGCGCCAAGCGATGCTGGGTGGTCGCAAATGTCGAACAGATCACCAAAGAATCGGTCGATCTGGGCTGATAGTTGCACATCTGGCGGAGTTCCCTCGTTGCTCTGCTGGTTGTTGAACGCTTCAATTTCACGTCGGTATCGAAGAATGGTGTTGAGGTACACTTCTTTCATGTTCGCAGGAAGGGGCAAGGTCACCGTGTATTGATCCGAGCCTGGCACCTCTGAAGATGGTGAAGAAGTGATTTCAGGGTCCACAGCCTCGATAGACATCGTCGGGGGCTCCAAGGGGGCCTGCATCAGGCTTTCGGGTTCTACTGTTCGACTGATCTCTGATGGAGAAATTGTTGCCGGAAAGACCTCAGGTACAGATTCGGGTTGAAGAAGGGCGCCAGACATGTCAGTCGATGTCGCGATCTCAAGATGGGATTCGTTGACGGGTTCCTGCAGCTCATTCATGACAGGCATCAGCGGAAGCGAAGTAGGTTCCGGCGCCGACAACAATATGTCGTTAGCAACTGGCAGGGCACCTGGCAAGGTCGTTTGAGTCTCTCCCGAAACCGTCATCTCCTGATTTAGATCTTCGGCCGGAAATTTCGTCCGATTTGAGGAGCCGATGAAGTCGAACAGGTCATTGACGTCCGGAAACTCGGATATAGGCGCCGAAGATTCCGCATTTTGCTGCCCCGCAGCCGCATCAAGAAGCAAAGCGACCGGGTCGTCTTCCTCTGGCGCAACTCCGCTCATCTTGGAGGAATGAGCTGGTAGCGAGCTGGATGTTCGGGAGTCAGAGCAGATGGCCTTCCGCACAACTGAGTCTGGCACGACGTTATCGGGCGAACTGCTGTCGCAGGTGACTTGGCTCACCGCAATGCTAGCCTGCGCCGGGTCGATTTGTGCCGCTTGCTCGGTAAGGACGTCCTGGCTCTGAGGAACTTCGACAACCGCCAGCGCGTATGAACCGGCAGATTCTAGTTGCTCCTGGGGTTGGGTCAAAGGTACGGGTGCACCAGAGCTAGACTCGGGCACAATCTCTCGGGAATCTAGCGCGGAGCTCGCAATCAGCTCAAGATCAAATCCGAAATCTGGCTGCGAAAAGAACTTTGGGGATGCTCCCGGTCTGTGAGACTCTTCGACAAGTTCGTTCAGAGAGCTATGCTGTTCGTTGGCCTGTTCTCTCGTATCTCCGATGTCGGGCTGGTGCGAAGGAATTTCGGGGTCCTGTGTTCGCGAAGCGTCACCCGTTGATGGATCGACAAGAGACTGACTGGGTACGAGGGATTTTTCTAAGCTGGAGTCCTTCTGGGAGTCGGGAATCTCGAGGCGGGGCCGAGGAACAGTTTGAGACACTGAAAGGGCTTGAGAAGAAGAGCCTGTCTGAGTATCGTCAAGCCAATCCTGGGAGTCCGGGATGGTTTCTTGGCTATGAAATGCGGGTTCGAGCGTGATTTGCGCGTCGAGTTCTTCCAGGGCGGACAATGATTGGGAGTGCGAGTTTGCAGTCTGTTGGGAAGACTCGGGAAAGCTGTGGTACTGGGAGGTGTCGATGGCGGCCTTGCTCGGAAGCTCCACGAAGATACTACTGGTGTTTGGTCTTTCGAAGTTGTCCGAAGCTTCTGGTGTGTATGCTTCCTCGGAAGGAAGTGAAGACAGATCAACACTAAGCCTCGGACGCTTGGATGCGCGCACGTCGTCGGCTGTGAGGCCAGGGAGAAAGTCGGCAACCGAAGACGAGCGGGCACGACTGTCAAGGGGGCGAGGCCTCTTGCGACGGTTGGCTGGAAGGACGTCTTGGCTGCTGTCAACGGACTGTGGCGAGGCGATTGGTGTTTCCGCCGTGGCTGTTGCTGCGGTTGCGACTACGGACGTTCGAGGGGTGCTCTTCTTGGTCGTCGTGGTCTTTTGCGCCCGTGTCTTTTGACTCTGAGCCTGTGCCTTCTCAGATTCCCACTCTTCGATAGCTGCTTCCGTTACACCTTCAGCAGAAATCTGTATTTCGTATTAGCACCGTGTTTGTCAGGAGCTCGCGCAGGCGTCCAACATACCCACTGTAGAGGGAACTCCTGTCCGGTTTGGGGATCCGAAGCCCAGCGAACGAGGTAGGATAGCTTCTTGTTTCTCCTCCTTTCTTTAACAATGCCGACGATGGGCCAGAAATCTCCTTCCTCTGCGCCTTGACTGTCTATTTGTTCTGGATCGTGGTCTGCGCTGCGTACCGAGTCCGATTCAACAGGAAGCACCCCCGGACGACTAGGCATTGACGGCGAGCCAGGAGGCGAACGGTTCCCTTGGTCGTGGCCTCTCGGGTCATCGCTGTTGCCGAGATGCTGCGACGGAATCGTGCGGGCGAGAAAGTCGTCGGTCGAGGCAGCACGGGTCTGGGGTCGGACTTCGGCTTGGTTGTTGATGGGTGGTTTAGTCGCGGTACTGCCAGAGCTTCGAAGTCGCCTGTTGCTGGTCTTGAGCTTTGAGCCAATCACACGTGACGAGCGTGGCATCGTGCAACCTCCCAGGGTAGCATGCGCCTGCCAATCAGCGCGAGCAGACCAGTGAAGAGAGAGCCACAAGGTGGGGCTTTGCAAGCAAGGGGACTATGGGGAAGTTACTGGTGGGATGCGAGTCTGTCTCGTCGCTGTCGACGGACGTGTTTGCTGCAGTGAATATTTCGTTTCGAAGAACCATGCCAGACAGGAGGAGCGGATGATGCACTCGAGTAAATTCAAAGTGTAAATAGGGTAGGTACTTAATAAGGTAAGGGAAGTAGGTAAGAAAGGCAGTGAATGTGGATGCCCTCCGGGTCGTGCCTTCGTTGGGGAAACTGAATCACCAGTGATTCTTCTGGTTGGCTGGTCATGCAAACACCATGTGCTCAGACGAGAAGATGCTGGAAAACGTCAAATGGTACAGCGAACGATCGAAACAGGGGCCAAGGATACACAAGGATACAAAGAGCTTTCTTCCCTTTGCTAGGTAGGTAAGAGTAGCAGCCAAAGAGCCATCTGTTTGCCATCGCCCTCCAAGCGGTTGCCATATGACTGTACCACCTTCGAAAGACGGCAAATGGCCACGACCTACCTACACTGCCTCCCCAAGACGATCAAGGACGCAAATCGGACTACGAATGGCAAGGATATAACGAAGAAAAATGTCTATTGAGCGCCAAAATCATTCAGCCTGCAACCACTTTTCATCCAGATGCTCTTGATATACGGGTATGTAAGACAGGTTCAACCAGGTAAATGTCCAGAACTGTATATCCTCTCTACCTTAGTCGAGGAAAGTAAACAGATTGGTGTGCAAAATGTTCATGGCTCGAGTCGCATCGCGCGCACCGATGACACACGAAATGTTGATCTCACTCGCGCCTGACGAGTGGTTAGCAAAAGCGGGAAAATATGCGAAGGCAGGAAATCGTTAGCATACCCTGCGAGATCATCTCCAGGTTGACTTGGTGCTCGCCCAGGGTCGAGAACATGCGACCCGCGATACCGACCATGTTCTTCATCTCGGCACCAACAAGGCTGAGAATCGCCATGTCGTGTAGGATGCTGACATCACCGCAGTCCTCAAGCTCGAGCCTCGCCTTGTCAAATTGGCCCGGCTCCGAGTTGCCAACGTGGATGGCCATGGACACGTGCACCTCACTGGTGGAAATGAGATCGACGGAGACCTGATGCCTGTCCAGGATGGAGAACACCTTGGCGAAGAAACCGTGCGATATGGAGCGCTTGTTCGAGTGCACGTTGATGACGGAGATCTTATCCTTGATTGTCACAGCCGTGGGCCTCTTTGGTTTCTTAAGCCGAGCGGGATCTGACCACGCGTGGCGTTGAATCTGGTGGCCTGCCGCAAGAACGGGGTCGGGGACGACGATCGTGCCGACGCCAGTGGGGTTCTTGACATTCTTGATGCGGATCGGTATCGGGGGGTTCGCGTGGATAACCTGGTCCATGGTGAGATGGTGGATAACCTCGGAGCCGTAGAACGTCAGCTCCGCTGCCTCGGATGGCGTGATGGACGGTAGAAGTCGTGCCGTGGGCACCTTGCTCGGATCGGCCGTAAAAATGCCGTCGACTTCCTTCCAGACCTGCAACTCGTCGGCGCGCATACCGACAGCGCAAAGCGCAGCGCAGAGGTCAGTGTAGCCTCGGCCGATGTCGCCATCAATCAGGCTGCCGGGAACGTTGCCAAAGAAGCCAGTGACGACGGGAACTCTATCCTCGCACGCCAGGATCTTCTTGTTCAACAGTGCGGTCGCTTCTTGATAGAAAGACACATCCAGCCGGGCCGTGGCGTCATAGTGGAAGACGTCGCTCAAATCAACGTACTCCGAGGCAACTCCTTGGTCTTGAAGCAATATAGCCATGAAGCGGCAGCTGAGTTTTTCGCCGAAGCTGATGACACGGTCCTTGGATCTGGCGTTCACCTCGAGATTGAATCGTTTTGCGGCCACAATGTACTCTGTAAGCTCCTGGCACTCATCTTTGATCTGTTTGGACAGGGCATGTTGGAGGTCCTCGTTGCGAATAAAGTTGTGTACCGCGAGCACGTGCTCGCTACTGACGTCGCTGATGAGGCTCTTGGCCTCCTCCATGAGCTCGTTCTGCACATCCTCGTCGTTGGTCGCGGCGGCAATGCCCTTGAGCTTGTTATAGATGCCGAGCAAACTAGTCCACAGGATTAGGCGCAAGGCTCAGGATTTCAGGGATTGCGCCGAGTGACGATGCGCGAAAGTGACTCACCGACTTGTCGTACCCTCAGCCTTCTTGCCCGTACTCCTGGCCGAGCAGACGACGACGACTCTATGTTCAGAAAGATTGGACCTGAATAAAATGGTAAGTCAATTGATCTCGTCGTGTTTGGTGAACTTGATAATGGTGGCTTCTCACTTCACTATGTCTTTCGCAATCTGCAAATCGGTGTCAGTATGAATATGAGAGGTTTACCGGTTGGAGACGAAGTGAGAGATTATGAGACGAGGGCGAAAGACTCACCTTGTCCGGAAACTTGCCGACACTTGTGCCGCCAAACTTTTGCACAACCCATCCATAGTTGGATGCGTTACCTGTCAATTGGCCGCCCATGGCGGTGGTACAGTAAGTCGCAAGGAGCGAGTTGTCGGCAGGTGAGACAGGTGTTGGTTGTATGTGCCGAACAGTGCGCCGTGGACGTAGGGTTGCAGCAAGTGAGAGACCCCGGGTGAGGTGTCTACAGGTTGCTGATGTGTGCCTGTTGTAGGTAGGTCGAGCGAAATCCCACCAGCGCCGATAGAGTAGAGTGAAGAACAAGTGGTGAAGTTGAGGTGTGAACCGTTCAGTGGTGACAAAGTTGGTCTACATTAGGTGGGACTTGTGGGGGACGAAATCGGCGGCGGCTGACGGGTGTAGACGCTGCTAATGGCTCGCTGGTAGGCGGCTGGATGAAGCCGGAGGCCGGTAAACCGGAGCCTGGAGTCTGGAGCACTAACAGAAATTTCTCCAGCACCCAGTGTTCCCCAATGGGCAGCACCCGAGGGTGACTCCGTCTCACGCTTGCAGCTGTCGCGGAGCATGTGCAGGCCTGCCGTTCTCGGAACCCGTCTGTCAGGCACTGACTGGGATTGGTACCTTGCATGTCTTGGGAATCTGGGCACAACCACAGTTCGATCATATTTGCGCGTTTCCTCTGCTCCCTGCTTGCATTGCCACGCTGCAATGGACGAATACTGCCATATTTCGATCGTTCAGCCATAAACCCTCTCATGTCTTGAGGCCTGTTTTTTGTTGATGCGCCATGCAGGAGGGGGCGTCCCAGGGTATGTATGTATGGCTCTGTACCTTATGGGGTACTCGCAACCATTGAGGTGAATACCTGTTCCCTTTGATGGGTCGAAGGTACCCATGACGGCGATCTCGACGCCAAACCATGTTCCAGGGCTCGTAGCTACAGCTCAATTTAACATGTGATCCCGTGTATTCGATTTGGTCTTCAGCCGTGATTCTCTAGCCAACCGGTTCTCAACCATAACGAAACGAAACCATCGTACTGCACATCCTCCAAGTCCAAGGCTGGGTACTGAAGCAAGAATTAAAAGCATTAAATCGCCACCAAACCCCGTGAACGCCCCTTTCTTTCAGGCCTTTCAGCTCAAAGCCCAGACCCAGAAATCAAACCACCGACCCATCGACGCCACATTGGTTCAGTAACCCAGGCTCCCCAATAAGATGGCGCACCTGCCGAACCGCGAACAGCAAACCCCCTAAACCGAAAAGTGACCAAACCCCCTTCCTCGTTCGTACATTCGTGCCGTCGTTACCACACGCGTCGTCATTGATCGATGCCCTGCCCTGAAGACAGCAGGGCCTGGTCGACTTCGGTCTGTGAGAAGGTGTACTTGTCCATGGGGAACTCCTCGTCAGGCGTTCGAATCCCGATCCCGCTGTCGTCAGGATTGCAGCCTCCACCGAGGCCCGCCGGATCTACCTGTGTCGTACTGTTTGTGGATGGAAACGGTGCCCGGTCCGGTTGCGCGGAAGGTAGGTTGGAGAAGTTGAACTCTTCACTGCCGCCGCTTTGGCGCGCAGTTTCGCCTCGTGCCTCGTTGTTGGGGATCGGAGCGGCCGCTACATCCTCTGCCACGCGTGTTGTCTTGAGTTTCATAAAACCGCCTTGTTCCGCCAGGAACGAGATCATCTCGTCAATCCAGCACTTCGTGACCCACCAGGATCCAAAACTCTTGCCTTGAGCCATGGTTAGATCACGCATGACAGCTGTGCCGATCCGCTGGACGCCATAAACAATGTCGGCGTGCCGCGCGTAAGGGAACCGGCTTGCAAGAGACTTCAGAAAGTTCACCCATCGTTCGAGAACGTTCTGTCCACTAGACTCTCCAGCGTTGTCATTGAGCTGTCGCTCTTTTCTTGAGGCAAGGTCGCCGTAAACCGTCAAGCACTCGACTTCCCATGGAACGCTCTGTGGATCAAGCAGATCCCTAATCTCAGAAACCACAAGGTTGACGAAGTCGTCCATCCCGCGCGTTGGGATTGATTCCGCGACCTTGCGGACGGGAACCATAGTGATCCAGTCCAGATACATCTGATCTCGATTGGCCGGGTTGGAAAGCATGTTGGCTGCAGCATGAGCTGTCAGGTTGACCTTGAGCGCGCGGTCGAGCAGTGCTGCAAAGACTGTTGCAGGCGCTTCTTTGGCGCGGATGACATGGAGTGGCTGTCCTTGGAAGGCTTCACGGATGTGGGGCACCAAACGCGTAGATATACTTCGTAACGTGTCCAGAACAGGTTTGGGAACAACCTGGAGTGTCAAGCCCGAGACAATCTGCATCATTCGCTGATACAATATAAAGTCACATTCTTCGATCCAAGGAGCGACGCTGGCATTACCCAGAAGCTTTTGCACGGGCATTGTGAGTGTGCCTTGGAATGATGTGTAGAGGTGGAAAAAAGTCTTTTCCTTGCAGTAGCGCACGCATTCGACAAGCGAAGTGCAGTGGGAGCGGTAGAGAGCCGAAAGACTCTTTGCAGCGTCAGGATCTGTTCCTTGCGGAAGAAATGGCTCGATCCGCGGTAGTGCGATGGCCTCTGACTGGTTGAACATGGCCTCCTCCAGCTCGGAAGGAAAGCTAAGTTCGAGTGAAGTTTTGCTGGTGGTCGTGTGGAGCTGGTCTGCAGAAGTGATACTTGGCATGCTATAGAAGCTGTGGGATCGGGAGTGACCTGATATAAGTGAAGCCGGGCTTTTTGCACGAGGCATAGAGTCGGATGGCGCTTGGCTATCTTTGGCGAAGGAAGCAGCTGCTGGCTTATTGGGAGCGATGCTATTGCTGCGGGAGAAGCTCGCGACAGCCGGAGCAAGGGGAAGTGGTGCTTCAGGCTCACGAATTTCTGGTTGGTCGTCGACAAGCGCGAAGTTGACGTAATGATACTTGGACTCGCCTCGAACGCCCAACCGCCTGGTCTTCAGTCCTGGGAATAAGACTCGGACGAGTTTGCCGAAACTTGCTGGGTTGAGAACTGTGATCCTTTCTGTCGCGCATCGCGACGCGTAGTTGGCGTAAACTCGACCGCGAGGAACTGATCCCTTGCCCTTCGAACAGACCGAATTGATCCACAACATGGCGAAAACCTGCCTCGTCCGTTCAGAGTTGGGGCCCCTCTCGTTTCCATGCAGTTCCTGAGCCACTTCTTGAAGCTTACGGTGCCTGTTGGCACCGAACAGATGGCGCATCTCAAGCTCGTTGTTGGCGCTTGACTTAGCAGACGTCGACTTTGCAATGCCCAAGGCACCAGCAAGCGAGTCACCCTCATCATTGTCGTCGCGGTCAAGCATTTGACTGTCCTCCGTGAAGCTGTTGTTCATCATGCTGTCCATGGGTTGCGAGTGGCCGGAAAGCGACTGTCGGTGGAATGACATCGCATGGTTGACCGGGGCATGCGTCGCGGACTGCATCGTGTAGTCACGAATGCCCTGCATTTGCGTTGCAGCCTGCATCATCATGCCGTCGGGAGAGATGCGTGGAGCTGGTGCGAGAGGTTTCGGATGCCTCTGATCGTTGTTTACCCACTGCGCTGAGTAGAGATCTTGCGCATCTGCGAGTCCCTGGTGGTCGAGTCCTGGTTGCGTTGTAGCTGAGGCTGTTGATCCTCTCGATTGTGGCCTCTTCTTCATGTGAGGCTGGACAATGCCGCCTGAAGGTGATCGAGTTAGTAAAAGTTGCTCCTAAAGTCCGGGATCGCGTCTCTGAAGACCCGGCAGTCGACTGCCGTACCTTGATCCATGGTGGCCGAAATCGCCGGCTTGTGATGAAGCTATCGCTGCGACAATAACACGCGGCACAGGCAGCAGTCAATCGAGCAGACACTTTGAGCGACAACACGACACGTTGAAAAGCCCAGATGAAAGCTTGAAGCTACGAGACTCCTTTGCAGACGGTACTGTGGTGTGGTGAGTGGTGCGCTGCGCGCTCTGGCCGGCGTTTCTGGTCTGGTGGGAAGGTTTGGTGAAGAGGAAAAGCGATGTTTTGGCGTGGGCGTCGAGTTGTTGTTGTTGCTCGGTAACCAAGTCCGTGCTGCAATTGGCCGAGCGGGCGCTTTGCGGGTCTCAATCCTATGTGGCTGGGACACACGTGATGAGCCAACGACGTTACTGGACATTGCCTTGGGACATGCATCAGAATAGGCACGCTGGAATCTTAAGGCCCACCAGCTAATTTTAAAGATCGAGCGTCCTTCGTCACGATTCATGGCGCCCGGTCATATTGTCTGACTGGATAAGTTTCAGTGATGTGCACGCTTGTTTATGTTGTTCTATCTACTTTTGTGACGAAGCCCGGGCCGCGGCCGGTGCCAATAGAGCGGATTGCAGCTTAACCTTGTCCGATTCCTCCCTGCACCAGTCCATTCCTTGCTGCTGATGGCGTCCAGTTATTGAGCGCAAGGTTTTTTTTGTCAAGTCCAGTGAGCCAAGACCTCATTAAAATGTACGACATTTGCAAATCTCGACATATGCAGGAGAAAGCCCCTGGGCGTTGTTGTTTACTCGCCTTACATCATGCGTGTTGTTGGGGTCTGTGGATCTCAGAGCAAGCGAGAATCAGCAAGCAAGCAGCCACCGCACAGGGGGTGGTTGGGCCACAGATCGAGTGGCTGGCTCGTCCACACATCGGCCACCCTCTTCCCAGTGGTGTTGATTGGCCGGCTGCCGAAGTACCCGAGATCGTTAGGTGCCGCCCCGCCTCTATTTCCCCTCCCGAAGCTTGACGCAACCAGCAAGCTTGGGCCCGATTCCACCTTTCAGCTGAACACGTCGTCATCCTGCCCTCTCCCTCGCTCGCCAGTCGTCACTGTCTGTCACCTGCCAAATTGCCCAACCCTGAGTTCGTCAGCCTTCCTGCATCTACCACTGCGACGCCTAGCTACTCCCCACCAACAGGTACATCCTCGCATCTTTTCCTCGCAGTATCTTTAAACACAGCTCTCGATATTTCTGCACATTGAAAAGTTGGTCATTCCATGGCTGTGGGCTTATCCTAGCCAACTTGGAACCACCGTGCTAACCCTCGCACAGCGCACAAACCCCCCTCCCACGACATCATCAATCGACAAAATGTCTGCCCAGGATCGTGTCCAGAACTACCTTGGTCAGCTCGACAGCGAGGTAACAACATCTAGAAACACTCCAGTGCCCCCTTGTTATCTGACAATTCTCCTGTGCAGCTTTCCAAGTACCCCGTCCTGAACAACATTGAAAAGTCCACCAACGTTCCCAAGGCGTACGGCGCCATCGGCCTCGGCGCCCTGTACTTCTTCTTCATCATCTTCAACCTTGGCGGGCAGCTTCTCACCAACCTCGCCGGTTTCGTCATCCCCTGCTATTACTCCATCGATGCGCTCTTCACGCACAACACCAATGATGATACCCAGTGGTTGACCGTAAGCTCCTCAACCCCGCACCCCGCTCCCTGATGGCGCAATACTGATTATCGAGCCAACAGTACTGGGTTGTATTCTCTTTCTTCACGTAAGTTGATGCGCACTCCAAGTTGCGACGAATCCGGACTGACCGTAATGCGCCCCAGTATTGTCGAGAGCCTTGTCAACGTCGTCTACTGGTTCCCCTTCTACTTTGTCTTCAAGTTTGTGTTCCTCCTGTGGCTCTCTCTGCCCGTGTTCCGGTAAGTCTAGCTCACAAAAGAGATGCGCGTCCGTCACTGATTCGAATACAGCGGCGCTGAGATCATCTTCCACTCCTTCATGGCCCCCATGCTCTCAAAGCACTTCGCTGGAGGCAGCGCTTCTACTGCTTCCGGACTCCGTGCCAAGGCTCAGGGCCTCGACAAGTCCGACTAAACAAACTACTTTCTCAAAGCCATGCACACACATCAACTTGGGCATCGCCCTCCCGCCACGACGGCATATTTCCTTTCCTAGATTTTGGCAGGTCGCTGCGTCATGCGGGCCGGTTCATTACGCGCAATTCGGCCAGGCAACGATACCATGAGGCGCCATGAACAGCATGGAGGTTATGAGACAATGTAAACATGAGGACGAGCCCAGTTCTTTGCGGACTGGGGTACGAGAAACCCACTAGGAGCCCTCGTTATCACCAAACACGCACTCTTGGTTACAGTGCAACACCAACGTTGTTAGGATTATTCAATGATAGTTTGCGCTCAAAGCTAAACACGACGAAAAGTGTCAGTATCGCAAAGTGGTTGGCTGTAATTATTCTCGTAGTTCTGGACTGCAAATGAGGTCGATCACGTAAATGTATGCTGCGACGGGAAGTAGAATCCGAACGCAAATGTTACGAAATTGGGAGTTGAGCAAGTTTCAACCCCTGAACTTAGATCAAAACCAAGTCATGGTCGAGGCCCGCCTCGGCCTCTCAACAGCAAGTTAGCATAGTCTTCTCCTCCGTAAAAGATGCATCTATACAGGAGCTAGGACTGTCTCTATAGCCCATGAATCGACCAACATCCCGACACATGTGGCTTAGCCGCGACTGCTGCGCCACACCATCAGCAAGCACCCCTGTCGATGCGTACGCAACGCAATGTATGGGGTTGCTATTCAGCTGTTTGGACATGGAACGTGAAACTCCCTGATCTCGACATCCGTATTTCAAAAGACCCCTGATCCTCCATACCACGAGCACAACGAACGCGACAGGCGCGCAGCTTTTGATCGAATTCCCCGCGGCCAACACCAACTCCTAGGCATCCACCTCTCCGAACTGCGACCATGCCAATCGAACATCATCGAGTGTACAACCACTGAGACCCACGTCTCTGCAAACGAACGATCTCCCCAGTACACAATCGTGCTCTTCCAGCTGTGTTCGAAACGACCTTGGCAATAAAAATACATAGCATTCGCCCCTGGAGGGCACAGCGCTACGATGCAATTCACACCTCTCCAGTCCCGTCTTGTAGCATCGCTAGGCGCATCCGTCATGCTGTTGCTATTATACTTTTTGCTCTTGTCACCTGGCTTCGCCCAGGCGCAACAACTGGCCGACGCGCCAGGCTTCTTTCTTGACGAGCGATACACAAGTGACGACGATCTTGTCGTACCACCAGATGATACCAGCAAGCTCGACATCACGTACAAAGCCGAGTTCTCCGCCTTCGATCGCAGTATTATTGGAAGGGCACCACCAGGGGTGACAGGCCTTCTGAACAATGTCAAGGAAAATCGAAATGTCAGACCCGGGACGACGCAGCAGTTTGTCTTCGAGGCCAGTCGCATTTGGCCAGACGAAGTGGAGTCAGGGAACACTGTAAAGACGAGACACACGAGCAACATAACGCTTGCCAACGGGCCGTCTGTCGTCGACGATGACACATTTACCGAGGATGAGGGCGCCAGTGAGGACCTGGGTCTTCGTCGACGACAAGAACGCATAAGGACGATCTACATATCTGCCACCACCTGCATCCAACCGCAGCGGAGTGGGAACAATACATCCATGGATCCGCCTCAGATCAGTCTATTCGTGTCAACTTCCCTCGACAACCAACTCCCGGGCGCCGATAAGCCGATGGTGAACCAAACGTACAAGGCATTCGATGAGGGAGCGGTGATGCTCAAGCTCAATGCCACCGGTGATGTCTTCTTTGGCATCTCAGCTCCGACCAGCAACGAGGTTATGTTTGACGGCGAGTGGAACTTTGATGTGGCCGTCTCGACAGACGAATTCTATCACTCCTATGGCAATGACCAGGGGGGGCTTCTTTGGGTGGATAGCGACTCGAGCGCTGCGCTGCTCATTACACCAAACATGACGGACAGCAGCGACGCAGTCCAAATCCAGAAGATCATGGATGAGGGGCCGCAGTATGTCATGTTTGTGGAGAACGAGGATGGATGGCAAACAAGAGGCGTGCGTCATTCCATGTGCGGCCTCTCCAACTATGCGCAGATGGCTGCGAAAGCGGGCGGATCGTTCGGCGACAAGGCCACGACGGTTATGACTACGAGGGGACCTGGAGGCCTTCCAAAGCAGCAATTCTACTTTAATGGGTTAAACGCGAGCTCTTCGTACAATGGCTATCTCGCATGGACGGGTTCAGAGAGCCTCAAGCGACAGACGCCGAATCGCGCGGGAGGCGGGGGTCAGGTCTTTCAGAGCACGCAGTTCGAGACCAAGTCAGGTATGATGTGCTTCACTGGCTACGGCGCTCTTCTCACTAACGATCCGAAGGCGACAATTGCAAGATCATCACTGATCTTACATTTTGCAACGAGACTGAATATGCGGTCCCAGCAAATGACCAGCGATTCGACATTGCCGAGCTAGCTCAGTTCTATGACGATTATGCCAGGCAGATGTACGGCTACTTCGAGAGGCAACTCGCCCAGGTCGCCTGCGAAGCTCCATCGCACCAATTGTACTCCCTGGCTCGCGATTGTAGGGATTGCGAGGTAGCCTACAAGAAGTGGCTTTGCTCCATCACGATCCCTCGTTGTGAGGACATCTCGAGCACCAACGAATTCTCGTTCGTCCGGAATCTCAACCAGTCGTTTCCAAACGGCACCAAGGTTTCTGAAGAGATGGTTGCGCAATTTTCAGAGTTGGCGCACCTCAAGTCAAGAAATGATCGCATTGACGAGGAGGTAGCACCAGGACCATACCGCGAGATTCTGCCCTGCGAGGATCTCTGCTACGATCTTGTTCGCAATTGCCCCTCCTCGCTGGGCTTCAAGTGTCCACGACCGAGGCAGCACGTGTTCAATTCGAGCTACCAGATCCGTGGCGACGGGCTGACATGTAACTATCCTGGCTCGGTACACAATCCGTCGGGCTCATCAGCCCCCGCGGTGTCCTGGCTGACGCTGTCATTGCTCGTGTTTGTTGCTTTGGGACTGACATCGGCCTGATCTACCAAAGGTCGAAACTGTCATTGGGGTTTTAATGATATGATGGCCGTACATAATGAAGTCGACGGGGGATGGAGATGAAGGATGGTTGGTCTATGCATGGCTCTGGCGTCTTGGGATACTTATTTGCATAAGAAGTTGCCACTTCTGTGCAGACTTCGCATATACTTAGATAGATTTTGACGGTTCAAATGAGACAAGGCGTTATGCTTTGTTCCTGTGCAATATATGGTAGTGATTTTGTGAAGAATAGTAAGGCACAGCCGACATGGCATGTAGCACTACCGGACTTGCATCGACGCGAGAAGGAGGGCGCAGTATGGGACGCTTCGCGACGTTTGCAAATTGCTGGATACTTCCCGCGAAGTGCTATGGTATAGTTATTCATATCGTACACCCAGAGTCCGTACCTCTTGCTACTCGTACAACCTTCCCTGCATGTCGAGCTTAATGACGTCCGCCAAAGCCCACTACCAGATGATGCATTGAATATAGAGTGCGCATCATCTTTGCCTAGCTTTGGAGGCTCCGCTAGGGCCCCCCTTTGCCTGAAGATATTTGCATGCTACAATGCCATGGTCGCCGAAATACTCGAACACCTGTTCGAAGCCTCGGAGCGGGAGTTGCGCATTCCCATCATCATTTCTTTTCCATCTGCTGTCCCTTCCTTAGCTCGTCCACTTGTGCCTCGAGGGTTTGGACCTCTTGTGTTCGCTCCGCCTTGATTTCATCCATCTCGAGTTTGGTCCACGCCAGGTAGGCGATTTGGTATGTCAGTGTCGCCATGAGGAGGACCTTCAGCGTCGGCCGCGTGAAAGTCTTGTAAAAGTTGGCCTGAGAGAGGATCATCATCAGTTGGCTGGGAGAGATGGAGGTGCGCGGGGGCAGGAACACATACCACAGCCGAAGGAGGCTTGTCGGCGGTCGCGTAGGATCTCGTCGCTGGCCTGAGGAGGATCCGAGAATAGCGCGCCCGCGCCATGGTCGTCACGGGTCTCATCAGCATGATCGGGCTGTAGCTATGTGTTGCGATGAGGTGACGTAAATCCGTTGGTGGTAAAGATAGTATCACGTCGGCTCACGGTGGTGATCGCTGTAGCTCGACTGTCATAGCGCCTCTCGGTCTCCATCGCCGCGCAAAGCCGATCTTTCACAGGCTCAAGCTCTTATCAGGTCCCTGCTCCAGCGCCTCAGAGAACCCTGGGAGCCTGTGGCGGTGCAAAATTCCCCCGCATTCCGTGCATTTCCCGCGGTTGAGTGGAGCCGTCGCGGTAGAGCCGCGCCTCTGGTGTCCAATCAGAAAGCAGTCGCCCGGAAAGCATGTTCGAGGTACGACGGGGCGGCCGGACACGAACACATGTCCTCCCGAGCTCGAGCTCCCACCCCCCATCAGCCCTGTCGAACGAATTTCCCAGGGGAAAGTATCGCGCTGTCCATTTGCGCAACTGACACTCTCTCTCTCTCCACGACCACCTGTCCCTTTCGACGAAACGTTCGACTGACTTCTGCCACCACGTCGACGAAATCGACTCTGCAACCTTCTGCTCTGCATCACCACGCCACCAGCTGGGGTACTTAAGGAGAAAACAAAGTTCGCCAACTTGCAAACCCAGGCCTACCAACCCCTACTTTCCTCCCCCGATCCGAAACTACCTCCCTCTACAGACCACGAAATCACATTCCACAATGGTGTGTACACTCCCAACTCGCCCTTGGCTTCGCATGTTACATCGCACCGAGTTAAGCGATTCGGAATACGAATGCAGGGCATGGTGCTGACCTGGTCTCCCCCAAAATAGGCCCAAACACCGACGCAGCGCCGCGCAAACGCCAAGTTCGCGAAAGGCAACGAAGCACGCATGGGCAAGTCTGAGGATCAGATGAAGGTCCGCCCCAAGGAAACCCCCAAATCCCCCATCTCTCCCATCTGGCTCGGTATGTACCCCCAATTCCTCCCTATTCTACTCCCCTTCTCCATCGCAAGCAAGCAAGTGGCTGACCCTGGGTTGTTCGCCACGCAGGTCTCCTCGCCTTTATCCTCATCGGCGGCCTAGTCTTCGACCCCGTTTCTCGCATGCTCGGTTTCTAGATGATGAACCGCCGAGGACGGCCTTGAGAAGAAGGGCTGTGACAACTACAACAGCGGGGGCGAAGAGGGCCTCGGGCTGTAAAAGGGAATCGTAGCTGCGCATGGCGCGCGAACCACACGAAGTTCTCACGAGGCGGCGGGCTATCAGGAGCAGGGTGCCGGAGGAGAAGGCCAGCCGCCAGCCAGCAGGGACTGAACCGAATCCGCAACAAGAGGCCATACGGGCCTAGCTTCAGATCAGATTCGGTGTATAGATACCACGTATCCGGGATCAGGAGCACATTGGCGTACCATTACTTGACAGCAACAATTGATGAATTCATTTACAGACATGTCCTGGCATGTTTCTGATGCGCTCTTCGCACGATCACTACGACTGAGCCGCTCTCTCTTGGTGTACAAACTTTTGATGGTTTTCGAAATCGCTAAACGCCGTGGCTGAGCAGTGGAAAGAACGAGCGAAACCGAGCATCGGGCTCGGAGATTGAGGCTTAAGCACCGAGGCCGCGGCGCGGGCCGCCGCCGACGTCAAACTTCATATGCATGCCCGCGTTGAACTGTTTCTCCAGATCCTGGTTCACCTGAGATATGTCAGAGTTGGCTCGGTTGCCATGGGCCTGTGCGGCAGCGGCACCCTTCTTGCCTCCTCCGAGCAGTTTCAGGAACTTCTGCTGTCGCTGGGCGCCGCCGTCCAAGCCGCCAACGTTCCACTGCTCGCCCCCGACAGCACTGGCCTGGGGAGCCGGCTCTTCGGCTGTCTTCTTGGCCTTCTTTTTCTTGTCTTTCTTGCTGGCGCTGACGTCCTCCTTGGCGGCCTCTTCATCCTCGTCGGCCTCGCGCTTGCGCTTTTGCTTCTTCTCCTTTTTGCAAACGACCTCCTTGTCGGACTCTGGGTCGGCCTCCAAGGGGGCCTTGGATTTCTTGGCCTTCTTCTCCTTCTTAGACTTGACGGGCTCTTTCTCTGTCTCATCGGTGACTTCGGCGTCGTTCTTCCTCTTCGCCTTCTTCTTTTTCTCCTTAACGTTCTCTTCGACTGCAGCATCTGCCTCGTCGTCCGTGTCCGCGGGTTTAGCCTTCTTTTCTTTCTTTTTCTCCTTCTTGGCCTTTTTCTTCGTCGCAATTTCAGTGTCGGCATCGGCCTCGAGTTCGGCCTTCGTAGGTTCCTTTGAGGGACCGCTCAAGCCTTCGCTCTCGGCGCGGAGCTGCGAGTTGGCGGACGCCATGACGGCGTCGACGCGGGCCCCGCCGTCCTCGTCGCCGGACGATTCGCTGTCGGAATCAGAGTCAGAGTCGGATGAAGACGAAGAAGAAGAAGAAGAGTCAGACGTCGTATCGTCAGTATGATCGGTGACGCCCTTGGCGGATTGTTTCTATCTCAATGTGTCAGCGTCGACATGTTCACCACGCAAAGCCAATGACCGTGACGCACCCCCTTCTTCTCAGTGACAGCGTCGTAGCGGGCGCGCATGGCCTGCGCTGTTTGGATCATCTCCCGACCCTGGGCCTCGAGAGCGTCGGCCTGTTCCAGCACGCGCTTGCGGCGCTTCTCGTCCTTCTTTGACTCCGTGGCGGCGGCATCCTCAGTCTTGCCCGGGGCCTTCTTCGACTTGGCAGCGGGGCGCGCTTCCTCCTTGCGCTTGAGCTTCTTCTCTGTGAAGAAGAGAAAGTCAGCCTGAAGGGGGTTCAATTGTAAGGTTTGGGGGCTGCATCGAGTTTGCGACTTGTCGCGGACGCATGGTGTCGCATGATGGATCGGGTTCTTACCCTTGAGCTTCACCCCGGCCTTGGCCTGCGCGGGGTCAATGCTTACGTCGACCATTTTGCTCATGTGAAATGATTGAAGGACCAAAGTATGGATCTTTCAAGGTCCCTAGCTAGGCCACCATCAGAAGCTATAGTGAAAGGTGGAGGGGACTGGGGGAAAAAAAGATTGGGAATCTGCCGGGCGGTGAGACGTCAGTGCAGGAATTGTTGCTGATCGCCCACGGCGGGTAGGTGACGCGGGGCGGGGGCCCGGCGGGGTGTCGTGGTCCTGGCTGTCAAGCCAGCAAACGCAGGCAGGACGTCAGAGGGGGGTCGTAGTGGGATCGTCAGAGGCGGGACTAGGTACCTAACCCCAACAACGCCCCCCCCCCGCCTGTCAGTGATCCTGCGATCAGCGGTGACCGGAACATCTACAGAGGCCTGCACAGGTGCTCTCTGACAACGAGTCTCACTACGAGTCTCGCCCACCCGGAGACCATCCCTCGGAACCGAGAGCATAATCCCCTAGGTCATTGAAATCAGAGCATCTGGTCTTACCGAGAAGCTTCAAGTGGGGGTGATTCGGACTCTCGATATTCATTCTTGCAGATTCCCAGGCTCCCAAGGCTGTCTGTCACCTTTCCAGCTCAGCAGCTTCGGTGTGCCCTTGCATCACGGGGACTCACGTCCCCCCGGCGCCTCGTCAAGGCCTACTCTATCGAGGGCGTCCTCCGACACCAGGACAGGCATCACGATCGCCCGCCACGGTTCTTGCATGGCGCCCATGCCACCCCGACGTCTGCCTGTCGACCCAGGACCCAGCCAGTGAACCCTCGAAATCGCCTTGCCCTTGGTAGAACGGTGCAGTAGCGCGGGCCCATTTTCCAACCCTCCATCTTCTCCCAGCACCACCACCACTACCACCACCGCCCCCAAATTCGCATCCGTCGGGTTCAAAACCCTGGCTGCTGGGCTGAACAGGTGGGTGGGTTTGTCCGGCTAGCTGGCTGGCTGCGCCCTGGGCACCATGGGGGATTCCAATACCGATCCTTCTCACGGTACCTACCTGCCTCACAGTACTTACCTGGGTATGTAGGAACCTCTGCGTGCGCCAGCCCAGGCAGACACACAACCAGCTCGTTGCTGTCCGGAAGGTTGGAAGCAGGCGATACTACCCCCACTTACTCAGTAACTGTGGCCACGACCACATGGGAGTCGTCCCGAAAGCCAGCTGAGACTACCCACGCCTTCCATTGGCTGGTGAGCCTGGCGCCTCTGCTGTTGCTGTTCGCAGAAGTCCTTCTTGTCATGGAGACGATTGACGTTTTGGCAGGATGGGAAAATTATCGGGGAATCTGTGGTGTCTGCCTGACAGATTCCAGACCGAGCCAACTTTTCTGTGGCTGCTGATACTTGACGTCGGCGGCACATCCCGACCAGGGGGGGGGGGGGGGGGGTTCACATAGTCTCAACGGCGAGAGGATGAAAGAATACCTCTTGTAGTAAGGCCAAGTAAAGCAGCCTATTAGGAACAGTCATGGAACGCGCCTGCCAATGAGGACGTCTGTTGCACGAGGACCCCAAAAAGAGACATCGTCGAATGAGTTGCGCTCGCTCTTACGCTAATCAGATGCTTCGAATCGTACACCAGACAGGACCAGACAGGGCGTCGAGTGACCCGTCCCGACCCTCCAGAGAGGGGAGAGGCATGTGCCACGTCCCCACGACCCTGGTGCCACTGCCGCTTCAGCTTCTGCCCTTGACCACCAACCAGAACTTCGTCATGTAATCCCGCTTATGGGCGTTCTAATTTTGAAAGAAAGTTTGAGACCAGAAAGAGGAGATTGTACAGTAGTCCATCCACACATCCACACATGATCGCCAAAAATGACATCCGCAATATTTGGGAAGAAAAGGAACGAGAAGAGAAAAGAATATAGGCCGTCCTGTGTCAGCTCCCGCCTGGCCCCCCAGACTAGCCCAGCTGCCCCGCCCGTTAGATATGTCCTAAAATAGGCTCTGCCCGTACGCTCCATACCCGCGAGAGGATATACTGCTGCTGCCGGGAGAAGACGAACCATAGGCGTAGGGCTGCACCGAGACACTGTTGTCCTGATAGCCCTGACCGCCATAATACGAGGGGTTCAGTCCACCTGTCGTTGAAGAAGCTATTG